GAGAAAAACAAGAGAAAATGGATTTGTATCAGATGGTCCATACAGATGGTGTGTTTTTGTTTCCCTGTGAGTATCAGGCATCTTTTGATCGTGAACTTGTTTATAATCCTCTTGTTTCTGCAAGGCGATGCCAAGGGTCATGTTCAAAATGCTAGAATGCCACTGAAAAAGGACCTACAGATCTGGAGATGCTTTGAAGATGACTGCCAGTCCCATTGGGATCTTTGTGTGCTCTTATTAAAGCTCAGCACTAGAATTTTTCTCTTATGAACAGAATAGCCTGCCAAGGAAATATATTTAATTGTTCCCATGCTGCGTAAACCTAGTAGTGCGTAGAAGGCCCCACAAATAAGAGAGATGGTCTTCTACCATTTTCCTGTGCAGAAGAAAAAAGAAATATTTCCTCTGCATTCTGCCTCTTCCTTCACAAGGCATGAGCATTTTTATCTCCGTGCTTCCTGTGGCAATTTGCTTTTTGAGGAAGCAAATCTTGGCATTTGCAGAAGTGCAACAGCATGTCTCTTCTAGCCTGTTAGAGTTCCCAGGAGTCCTTGTTGAACTAACTCCATATGTTCAGAATGCAGTTAGAATCGCAAATTCACCACGTTGGCTCTGGAATTATGATATGTTGGAGGAGCTGCACATTCATTTTTTGCTTTCTGAACTAGTCAGGCTGCATTGTGTAGATGAGCAGAGACAAATAGACAGTGGAATGCAATGGACAAGACCAACACGTGTTGAAAAAAAGCAGTCCTGTTGTTTTAGGTCAATATTTATTGATTGCTAATTGCTCTTCCTTCCTCCCAACATGAAAGTCAAAGTGGCTTCCAGCATTGAAATAAAATAAATCTAAAAACTAATTAATTATCATAAGTTAAAAAGTTTTTAAACAAGTTAATTAAAACAGTATAAAATAATCCAGAACCAAAACCATGAGTGCAAAAGTATAATACACTCCCCGTTAAAAGATCCTTCTGTGGGCCGTGATGGCACAACTGGTTATACAGCTGAGCTGCTGAAATTGCTGACCGGAAGGTTCTCAGTTCGAATCCATGGGACGGGGTGAGCTCCCACTGTTAGGCCCAGCTTCTGCCAAACTAGCAGTTTGAAAACATGCAAATGTGAGTAGATCAATACGTACCACCTCATGCGTACTTACCTTAGGAAGGTAAATGGCACCTCATGCAGTCATGCCGGCTATATGACCTAGGAGATGTCTATGGACAATGGCTTAGAAATGGAGATGAGCACCATCCCTTAGAGCCAGAAAGGCATTGAATGGTTGCCTTTGTGTTTGTGTATGCTGGAATCCACCATGAGTCCCCCCAGGGAGATAGGGCAGAATACAAATAAAGTATTATTATTATTATTATTATTATTATTATTATTATTATTTTATTGACACAAAACACAGTATGACACAGCAAACAAGATCTATATGCTGGATTCGTATCACAAAATAACAAGTCGAACACTTCCCAAGCATTTAGGACTATATGATGTATTTTCAAATGATGCACGCAGATCCAAGTAAGGTGGCCTTTTCCAGTTGAAATATTGTGATTTTGTCGTTGTCGTTGTCGTTGTTGTTGTTTTTATTTGACTCACAACAAGATGAGTCCACAGCAGACAAGACCACTCTGCTGGTTGTTGTATTGGATCACACGTCAGACACTTCCCAAGTGTCTAGGACTGTGTGATATATCGGCGAATAAAGTGTGCAGATCCTAGTAAGGTGGCCTTCTYCAGCTGGCAGATGGTAATTTTGTCAGTGCAGATTGTGTTTAAGTGCAGGCCAAAGTCTTTAGACACTGCACCCAGTGTGCCGATCACCACTGGGACCACCTTTACTGGCTTGTGCCATAGTCTTTGCAGTTCGATCTTTAAATCCTCATATTGTGTCAGCTTTTCCAGTTGTTTCTCTTCAGTCCTGCTGTCAACTGGGATTGCAACATCAACAATCCATACTTTGTTTTTTAACACAATTGTGAGGTCAGGAGTATTATCCCCCAAAACTCTGTCTGTCTGAATTCAGAAGTCCCAGAATAGTTTGARGTGTTCATTTTCTGTAACTTTTTCAGTGTTATGATCCCACCTGTTCTTTGTCACAGGCAGATGGTATTTGTGGCACAAGTTCCAATGAATTATTATTATTATTACTACTACTACTACTACTACTACTACTATTATGCACAGATAGTTAATTACCAAAATTGTAACATGCGTGATGTAGCTGAAAACCTAAACCAGAGAGAGCGTCCTAATATTTGTTGCAATTCTGTTATACTGAATTATGCCAGGTGTGGGCCATAAATATTTCTCAGTGTATCTGTGTGCACTTAAGTTCAGACAGAAAGGGGAAAATGGCACATGAAAGTGTTATAAAGTGTATTGAAAGAAAACCATACTCCTAACCTGTTGTTCAAGTAGTGTCAGTGTGTACTGAAAGATTCAAAACTCAGCTTGAACTGAAGAGCTGCAGTTGCCCAGGAAAAACGATTAAGAAGCCTATGGCTGTTCTTGTATGTCTCATTTCCTGTAGTTGCTTTGTGTTCTGCCAGTGGGTGCCTGACAAGCAATTGATTGACCACTACATTAACAGAAGGTAGGGATAGGTGGTCGTCCTTTTGTTAGACTGGAAGAAACTCTGGGGTGAAGAAGAAACAACAAGTTGCAAGGCTGTAATTTGGAAACCTGCTCCATCCCATACATTGATCTCTTTAAGAGTATAACTTTTGTTCTTCTCGTTCTTACTGCCTCAAATTGGTTAACCCTAACTCTTCTGCTGAATCCATTCTAGCTATGACATTATTTTATCCCAACTTGGTTTGCTTATGTATCCGTCAGGCTCTGTTGTTTTCTGTTATTGTTGCAATGTTTTTTTATTGTTGCAAAGTTCCCAACACAGCCCAAACTGTTTCCATTGGGTTCATTTTGCACATACTAAATGACAGTGTGAATGGAAACAAGATATGAACTTATAACAGGATAACTAGCAGTCCAGTGGCTTGTGAATTGGCCCTTTAGGCTGTAAGGTTGCTTTCTGATGGCTGGGGTTTTGAGTTGTCAGTAGAATTGACAGTTATTCTAGCAGATTATGCAGCCTCATCACTTCAAGATCCTGCCCCAAGCCCTTACTGGGTTGTGGGTTGCCATGTCCATAACCCTGGGAATAAAGCACTGCTAGAGCATAAAATGCACTCATGCATCACAGTTCCTTCCTCTTAGATTCTCTTACTGGCCATGTAACCCTCTGTTTTTCATACAGTTTCCAGAATATACGTTAGCCTGTATATATGGATTGATAATATACAGTATATATGGATTGATAATATACAGTAGCAGCATAACATATTTATCACCTGACTACTAGGCTTGAGCATTCTGGGTAAACTGCAATCTGTTTTGGTGTCACAGATTTTGGTGGGGGCCCTAATCCATTTTTTTGGGAGCCTCCCGAAGTCAGGAGGGCAGATATCTGTTTTTGCTCTGGGTGCCAAAATATTCATTTTCTGTCCAGCCCATTATAGGGAGGGGCTTCCCAGGCTCCCCTTCTCGTCATTTTAGGCATCTAAGCTGTTTCTACTCTAGAGGAGGGTGCTGCAGGCAGGCCATGAAACATTCTTTCAAAGACATTTAAAGGAGGGCTTCTTAAAGCTGTTTGTACTCTAGAGGAGAGGTGCTGCAGGTACTGGCGCATGCGCTTTCTCTCCCAGGCCTGCACCATGCCACACACTAATTCCAAGGTATTTAAAGGAGGCTTCTTAAAACTGTTTCTACTCTAGAGGTGATGGTGCAGGCAGGCATACTTTAAGGAGGCTTCTTACCTGTTTCTACTCTAGAGGAGAGGTGCCGCAAGCACTAGCATGGGCACTTTCTCTCCCCGGCCTGCACCACACCATACACATTTTCCAAGGCATTTTAAGGAGGCTTACCCACTTCCAGGTAAGGAAGAACAATGACCTCCTGGAGCTATCCTCCCTGGACTTCCTTAAAAAAAACCTTCTTTTTTCCTGGCACACTTCAGTCTCCTTTCTGCTTTGGCTTTAATTCTTCCTTACAGCTGTTTCTACTCTCCACTTTACAGGAGAGGTAACTGGCAGTAGTTCTCAGGGAATGGGGGTTTTGTTTTTGTTTGCTGGGATTAATAAAAAAAAAAGATATGATGCCAAAAAGCAGAAGAGGAGCCAAGATCGGCTCCAGCTTGCTTTAATGTTGGGTGGGTTTTCATACCGGGAGGAACCTTTCTTTTACTTGTTCCTGAAGGTACCGAAGGAAAACAGATCCACATACAAGTCTACTGGCTATTGTATACTTGCATTAGCTACAAAAGAAAAAGAGAGAGAGAAATCAACTTCAAAAGAAATCATTATTTAGTTGGATAGAGGCCATATTTTACCTTACTGGTGACTGAGTATTTGTCCTGGCTGGATCTACACACAGAACAGAATGGGATGGTGTGGTTTGCTCTGGTTTCAGCATATGTTGTTTTTGCCCATATGTCTATCCAGACTGTTAACTCGCATCCAGCCACTTTGAGGTAAATGAAATTTATATTTCATTCTGGATGACAATGACAGCCACTAAAAAGGAAAAATAAAGAATGGTGAGATGGATGATAATGTGTACCCCGCATTCACGATCCAACGACAGCATTGTTCAATCTCCAGAAGCAAATAGATACATTGCACTTTCCTACATTATTTTTCTGAACATGTAAATCAAATCTTGTATGGAATTACACTGTAGATTTCTTCCCTTGAATTAGATAAAAACTGTGAATAATAATCAACAATGCAGTAATGAAGCCTAATTTTTGTTATTTCCTTCGGTGTGCCTCATCATGATAATGGTTCTCACATTTCATGCTACCAGCTGAAATTGGGCCTTCCAGTTATCACCTTGTTGGGAGCCATATATTTTCTCAGTGTGTAATGAGTTCAGTAATCAAGTCAATGAACTGATAATGCAATCTTCTTCTTTTTCATATTTCTTTAAAGGACAAAAAGAGTTATTCCTGCCCTGTGTGCGATAAATCATTTTCTGAAGACCGGCTTATAAAATCACACATAAAGACAAACCACCCAGGTAAGATAAGACACACTAATGGTTTTTAATGTAGCCTCATCATGGGGCATGCCCTTAGTTGTGTAATAGACCATCACTGCACCATGTCTGTGACTGATTGACACTATATTTATTTGGAAAACAAAGTGGAAGGGATAGAGAAACTTACTTACTGGCCAACTTCTGTGCCATCAGAAGCTTTCTGAAAAGGGAAAGAGGGTAAATTTTGGGCCCAGTACTCAGAACCTTAATTGTGCTTCTAGTACTCTGTTTCTCCTACAAATACTGAATTCCATCTATATCTTTTGGGTGTGAGTTTCCCATGCATTCAGTCACAAATCTGTTGCATTCTGTTGCCACATGCTTTTGTGATTTAAAAAAACAAAAAACAAATACTGCATATACAGAAGAGTCTTGCTTACCCAACCTTTGCTCATCCAACTTTCTGTATTATCCAATGCAAAATGCCCCCCGCCCAGATCCACAGCTATTTCAATACATTGTGATGTTTTGGGGCTACATTTGTAAATACAGTAATTACTACATAACGTTACCATGTATTGAACTGCTTTTTCTGTCGATCTGTTGTAAAACATGATAATGAATTCATCCCAGCATTGAATGTTTGCAGTTTGTATGTTGTGCTCCGTTCTGAGTCCCCTTCGGAGTGAGAAGGGTGGAATATAAGTGTTTTAAATAAAATAAAATAAATAATAATGTTTTGGTTCTTAAGTTGAAAATCATAATGTAATTTGACGTTTAATAGGATTTTGTTTCATCCCTTCTTATTATCCAACATTTCTGCTTATCCAACATTCTGCTGGCATTCTGCTGTACTCATTTATGAGTCTGGAAATTTTAGTCAAAACTTCGACCTCAAAACCTGTAAGCACTACAACTTAACTCTTCTCAGAAAAGAAAGCATATGTGAGTAAAGTGGTGAGGGGCAAAAACTTTGTCCATCCTGGAAGAGCCTAAAAGAAGCTTACGTATCCATCGGGCTCTGTTGTTTTCTGTTATTGTTAAATGCAAGGAGCCCAGGTATCAGGGCTGAAGTTTAATTAAACTAAAGCAAGATAAGCCAGGGTCATATTTCACTTATAAAGAAAACTAAAGTCTTCAGTCTTTCAAGTTCCAGCAAAAATAATCAATAATCATCATCATCATCATCATCATCATCATCATCATCATCTTTATTTACATCCTGCCACCATCTCTCAAAAGGGACTTGGGATGGCTTACAAGGCACTACAAGTGTAGTATATAACATAAACAATACATGAGTTTAAAAACAATATCATATAAAAGTTATAAAAACAACCACTATCAACACATACAATAAAAACACAGTTTAAAACTCAGACCATCTATAGTTAAAACTAGCTGCGTTCAATTCACAACTAACATACCAAAGTATCAGCCTTATATGGGCCCAATTCAGTCTACTTGAGACCAAAAGCCTTCTTAAAAGTCCATGTTTTTCATATATTTTTTTTACAGAATGGTACAATACAAACCAAACAACAATGAAACCCTGCTAAGGTCAAGAGTCCAGTTAATGAAGGCAAGGGGAGAAGTGTAGACTTAGGTGAGGAACGACAACAAACACTAGTCTGTTGCCAGGAGTTCAGTTGCCAGGGTTAATAAAGAATCCAGGAGTACAAACTGGGTCAGAGTTCAGAAGTCAAGCCAGGTAATCAAGAATATAAACTGAAGTCAAAGGCCTTAAGTCCAAAGCCAGGAAGTCATTTATTACAGTCTTGAAGTCAGAGCCAAGAATTCTGAATACAAAAAGGGTCCAAAACAAAGAGTACAGGAAACCAAGGGTCAGGGTCTAGGAATCCAACCTAGGGGAAGCAGAGTCAAGGTCTAGGACAAAGATACAAAGCCCCACAAAACTGTTCCCTAGAGGCTTCTTTATTTGGAGATCTCACCTGAAGCTCTCACCTCTTCATCACTGAAGCCTGTGATGCTTTGTTTGCTCCAAAGGCTGCTGAACCCTTCCCAAGTTTGCTGAAAATACTGGGAAGAGTCCTCTTCTGCTGGAGACCTGCCCCCAGCAGTATCCAAGCAAACAGGCTGCTGACCATGACAACTCTGTCCTTTTTAATGTGGGCAGGAATATGGATATAAGAGTAGCTGGCCCATCTTCACAGGATGCCCCTCAACCTTTCCATAGTCTTAACAAAATCCATAATTTTGCCCTCAATACACGAGGTCAACTTCTACAAGGCTTCAATATGTAAAGTTGTTGTTGTTCATTCGTTCAGTCGTCTCCGACTCTTCGTGACCTCATGGACCAGCCCACGCCAGAGCTCCCTGTCGGCCGTTACCACCCCCAGCTCCCTCAAGGTCAGTCCAGTCACTTCAAGGATGCCATCCATCCATCTTGCCCTTGGTCGGCCCCTCTTCCTTTTGCCTTCCACTTTCCCCAGCATAATTGTCTTCTCTAGGCTTTCCTGTCTCCTCATGATGTGGCCAAAGTACTTCAGCTTTGTCTCTAGTATCCTTCCCTCCAGTGAGCAGTCGGGCTTTATTTCCTGGAGGATGGACTGGTTGGATCTTCTCGCAGTCCAAGGCACTCTCAGAACTTTCCTCCAACACCACAGTTCAAAAGCATCGATCTTCCTTCGCTCAGCCTTCCCTAAGGTCCAGCTCTCACATCCGTAGGTTACTACAGGGAATACCATGGCTTTGACTAGGCGGATCTTTGTTGCCAGTCTGATGTCTCTACTCTTTACTATTTTATCGAGATTGGACATTGCTCTCCTCCTAAGAAGTAAGCGTCTTCTGATTTCCTGGCCACAGTCTGCATCTGCAGTAATCTTTGCACCTAGAAATACAAAGTCTGTCACGGCCTCCACATTTTCTCCCTCTATTTTCCAGTTGTCAATCATTCTTGTTGCCATGAATCTTGGTTTTTTTGATGTTTAGCTGCAACCCGGCTTTTGCGCTTTCTTCTTTCACCTTGATTAGAAGGCTCCTCGGCTCCTCCTCGCTTTCGGCCATCAGGGTGGTGTCATCTGCATATCTGAGGTTGTTAATGTTTCTTCCAGCAATTTTCACCCCAGCCTTGCATTCATCAAGCCCCGCACATCGCATGATGTGTTCTGCATACAAGTTAAAAAGGTTGGGTGAGAGGATGCAGCCTTGCCGTACGCCTTTCCCAATCTTGAACCAGTCTGTTGTTCCATGGTCAGTTCTTACTGTTGCTGCTTGGTCCTTGTACAGATTCCTCAGGAGAGAGACAAGGTGGCTTGGGATGCCCATCCCACCAAGAACTTGCCACAATTTATTATGATCCACACAGTCAAAGGCTTTAGAATAGTCAATGAAGCAGAAGTAGATGTTTTTCTGAAACTCCCTGCCTTTCTCCATTATCCAGCGGATATTGGCAATTTGGTCTCTCGTTCCTCTGCCTTTTCTAAACCCAGCTTGTACATCTGGCAACTCTCGCTCCATGTATTGCTGGAGTCTTCCTTGCAGGATCTTGAGCATTACCTTACTGTCATGAGAAATAAGGGCCACTGTACGGAAGTTTGAGCAGTCTTTCGCATTTCCCTTTTTTGGTATGGGGATATAAGATGATTTTTTCCAGTCTGATGGCCATTCTTGTGTTTTCCATATTTGCTGGCATATGGCATGCATCACCTTGACAGCATCATCTTTTAAGATTTTAAACAGTTCAGCTGGGATCCCGTCGTCTCCTGCTGCCTTGTTGTTAGCAATGCTTCTTAAGGCCCATTCAACCTCACTCCTCAGGATGTCTGGTTCTAATTCATTCACCGCACAGTCAAAACTATCCTCAATATTATTATCCTTCCTATACAGATCTTCTGTATAGTCTCGCCACCTTCTCTTGATCTCTTCAGCTTCTGTTAGGTCCCTGCCATCTTTGTTTCTTATCATACCAATTTTTGCCTGAAATTTACCTCCCATGTTTCTAATTTTCTGGAAGAGGTCTCTTGTCCTTCCTATTCTGTTGTCTTCTTCCACTTCCATGCATTGCTTATTTAAAAATAGTTCCTTATCTCTTCTGGCTAACCTCTGGAATTGCGCATTTAACTGGGCATATCTCCCCTTGTCACTGTTTCCTTTTGCTTTCCTCCTTTCTTGGGCTACTTCCAGTGTCTCAGCAGACAACCATTTTGCCTTCTTTGTTTTCTTTTTCTTTGGGACGTACTTTGTTGCCGCCTCCTGAACAATGTCTCGGACTTCTGTCCATAGTTCTTCTGGGACTCTGTTTACTAAATCTAGTCCTTCAAATCTGTTCTTCACTTCCACTGTATATTCGCTAGGAATGTTAGTGAGATCATATCTAACTGGTCTGTGTATTTTCCCTGATCTCTTTAGTTTTATTCTAAATTGGCAATAAGAAGTTCGTGATCTGAGCTACAGTCAGCCCCAGATCTTGTTTTCACCGACTGGATGGATGTCCGCCACCTTTGGCTGCAAAGGATGTAGTCAATCTGATTTGGGTGTTGACCATCTGGTGAGGTCCATGTATAAAGCCGTCTTTTAGGTTGTTGGAAGAGAGTATTCGTTATACACAGCGAGTTTTCCTGGCAAAATTCTATCAGCCTGCGTCCCGCTTCATTTTGTTCTCCCAGACCATGCTTGCCTGTGATCCCTGTTGTCATTTGACTTCCCACCTTGGCATTCCAGTTTCCTGTAATGAAAATAATGTCTCTTTTTGGTGTATTATCCAGTAGGTCCTGCAGATCCTCATAGAACTGATCTACTTCTGCTTCTTCAGCAGCTGTGGTTGGGGCGTATATTTGGATCACTGTAATGTTGAAAGGCTTTCCTTGCACTCGAATTGAGATCATTCTGTCATTTTTTTGGGTTGTATCCAAGCACCGCTTTAGTGAATTTCTTATTAATTATGAAGGCTACTCCATTTCTTCGATGTTCCTCTTGTCCGCAGTAGTAGATCTGGTGGTCATCTGATGTGAAGTGGCCCATTCCAGTCCACTTCAGTTCGCTGACCCCCAGAATGTCTATCTTTAGTCTTGACATCTCACCAATAACAACATCCAATTTGCCCTGGCTCATAGATCTTACATTCCAGGTTCCTATGGTGTGTTGATCTTTAGAGCATCGGATTCGTCGTTCACCTCCAGTACCGTCGGCCGCTAGCCTTCCTTTCGGCTTTGAGCTAGCTGCGTCATCACATCTGGGGCTAGTTGAACTTATCCTCTGCTCCTCCCCAGTAGCATTTTGGCCATCTTCCGACCTGGGAGTCCCATCTTCCAATGGCATACCGACATATCTCTGGTTGTACTGGTCCATTTAGTTTTCTTTGCAAGGATACTGGAGTGGTTTGCCATTGCCTTCCCCAGGGATCACGCTTGGTCTGACCTCTCTGCCACAACCGTCCCGTCTTGGGTGTCCCTTCACGGTTTCGCTCATGACATCATTGAGGTGCTCAAGCTCCAGCGCCCCGACAAGGCGGTGATCCTTTGCTGGAGAGGCGGTGATCCTTTGCTGGAGGATATGTAAAGTACATAAGATTTTTGTATGAAATTTACCCATGCACATGCTTTATATTTGTGTTGCCTGAATAAACACATTTTAATACAAACAAATGGAATACAAGGAGTGAGGTAGGAGGGAGATGGAAAGAGAAGGAGAGAGGAAGAGAAATTGCATTAACCTGAAATCTAGTTATTGACAGAGTGTAGTATATTTACCACACTCTTAATGTTGTGCATTACAGCGCAGAATAAATGCGTTTATGGTTTACAGATTTCCATTATAAATCTTCATATTATGATTCAGTTTTGATCTTTCTTCCATGGTCGAGAGAGGACTGTGATGGATATTGAATACCTTTCTGGTTGGGTTGCAAATATGGGGAAGACAGGATTGACCGGCTCTTTCCTCCTCCCTTCCAGCTGCAAACCTGGCTGACTTGAGTGTTGCTGTGCAAATGTGCCCGCATTTGCATACTTCAGTCTCCATTGACCTGTTTGGTACATGGCATTATCTCAGTTACCCAAAGACAAGAGCAGACCCTGCTGAAACCTGCCACTTGGCTTTATGATAGGGTTTTATATATATATATACCCTCACGTCATTTTCACATTTTCTCTCTTCATCTTGAAGATGGTAAAATATACTCTATCAGTCTCGAGAGCTTCTTCATTTTCAAGACTGAATTTTCCAGTTGCATAGCTAAACTGTAATAATTTCTGCCTTTCTGCATGAGCCTTTAAAAATCAGAAGAGTTGGATGGGTTGTTTGTATCTTTTGGATCAGCCAGACAGTCCTTTTGTACTTGCTATGAATGTGCTTTGCCTATTTCCCAAAGGGGAAAATGTACAGAGATGTAAATTTCAGAAACCTCAAAGGAATTAAAAACAGAACTTGTTTTCTCATTCCTGTGTATGAGGAAAGAAATCCCTTGGAAATGTGGGTAAGAGATTTTATCACTTATCTACTTGATAACTAGTCATCTTTACGGGGAGCTGAAGGCAGAAAAAGTGAAATGCAAAGATACAGAATGGGGGACGACTGGCTCGACAGCAGTATGTGAAAAAGATCTTGGGATTCCTCATAGACATGAAGGTGAACATGAGCCAGGAATGTCATGTAGCAATTAAAAAATTCAGTGAGATTTTGGCCTGTATAAATAAGAGTCTAGTGCCTAGATCCAGGGAAATCATGCTACCCCTCTATTCTGCTTTGGTCAGACCACACCTTGAATACTGTGTCCATTGCTGGGCACCACAGTTGAAGGGAGATGTTGACAAGCTGGAATGTGTCCAGAGGAGGGCAACCAAAATGATCAAGGGTTTGGAGAACAAGCCCTATGAGGAGTACCTTAAAGAGCTGGGCATGTTTAGCCTTCAGAAGAGAAGGCTGAGAGAAGACATGAGCCATGTATAATGAGGTGAGGGGAAGTCTAGGAAGGAGGAAGCAAGCTTGTTTTCTGCTGTGCTGGAGACTAGGATGCAGAACAATGACTTCAAACTACAGGAAAGGAGATTTTACCTGAACATGAGGAAGAACTTCCTGACTGTGAGTGCTGTATAAATATGTGAGAGGAAGTCACAGGGAGGAGGAAGCAAGCTTGTTTTCTGCTGCCCTGGAGACTAGGACACGGAACAATGCTTCAAGCTATAAGAAAGGAAATTCCATCTGAACATTAGGAAGATCTTCCTGACTGTGTGAGCCATTCAGCAGTGGAACTCTCTGCCCTGGAATGTGGTGGAGGCTCCTTCTTTGGAAGCTTTTAAACAGAGGCTGGATGGCCATCTGTCAGGGGTGCTTTGAATGCAATATTCCTGCTTCTTGGCAGGGGGTTGGACTGGATGGCCCATGAGGTCTCTTCCAACTCTATGATTCTAGGGGAACTCTGCCCTGGAGTATGGTGGAGGCTCCTTCTTTGGAGGCTTTTAAACAGAGGCTGGATGGCCATCTATCGGGGGTGCTTTGAATGCAATTTTCCTGTTCCTTGGCAGAATGGGGTTGGACTGGATGGCCTATGAGGTCTCTTCCAACTCTATGATTCTATGATGTTGTTTAGCCATATTCCCTCTTGTGCCTAGAGACTGACCACATAAAAATCCACCATTATCCCATGGATCATACTATTTTGAGTAAAGAGATAAGATTCTGCCCTTCCCAAGGGAAATTTTCTTTAATCTCCAGATTTCTACAACTGTTGTATCTCAAGAAAACTAAGAAAATGATTAAGGGAATGGAAACATAGAACATCCAGTGTTCTAAGCATGAGTCTCCCACTTCAAACTCTGATTCCTCCCATGTTTTCCATGTTTTCTGGCAAATCCCTCATAAGGAATACTTACAGACCTGAAGACCAATGATTAGGTTGATGATTATACATCACTGAGACAGTGCCATCCTACCTCTTCATTATATCTAGCAATTATACCATACCTCTGGATGATTAGGCCTTCTGCGGGTATTAACAAGCTGTCTGCTTGGATATTGCTGACTTCCCTGGAAATCCCAGATGCAACCTTAAACAAATGTTATGCGCCTTCTTGAGAGTATTGAAACTCATAAATATTTGGTTAGCAAAGCTACCCTGCTCGGTATTACCCACTTGAGGATGCTTTCCGTTTGGGGAAAAACATGGTTTTTGCACCAGTGGTGGGACTAGATTCTAATTTATCTCTAAAATAATCAGTTGCCATGGAAGCTCATGACACACAAAAGCAGGACTGGAAAGGCCAATAAGTGAGGATGCTGTTTCCTTTGACTACAAAAAGCTCACCTGGGAGGAGACCGTGCAAAGGAAAAACTACTAAAAAGGTGCAAGAAGCAGCACTGTAACAATATTCAATAATTTGTTTAATTTTGACCTATTCCCTAAAGGTGAAAGATGGTTTATTTTGCTTCCTTCTCTCTCCATCCCAGAGGTTTCAATGAACACCATCTCAGAGATTGTTGGCAGGAGAGTTCAGCTGAAAGGGCTGATAGGAAAGCGAGCCATGAAATGCCCCTATTGCAATTTTTATTTCATGAAGAACGGATCGGACCTCCAGCGCCACATTTGGGCCCATGAAGGTGAGTGAGGCTGAGTCAGCACCTTCCTTTTCAGCTGGTCATTTATTATTATGTACCAAATTGGACAAAATGTTTGACTGCATTTTAGAGTATCTGTTTCTGTTTTGAGCTACTTGCTACAGGGGAACAATTTTGTCAGGTTTGTGACCGTCGCATTTTAACTACTGTTCTTGGATAGAATTAGTGTCCTTCCCAATGTTCCATGGACGCAATCTTGTCTCGGCCGTGGCCCCCCGCTTGTGGAACGCACCTCCAAATAAGATACGATCGACCCCATCCCTCCTAGCTTTCAGGAAGAAATTGAAATCGTGCTTCTGGGACCAGGATTTCGGACAGCAGACATAAATCAGCACTTTGGTTGGAAATTGATTGGCAAGGCGATATATATGAGGATACGGTTTTATTGTTTAACTAGCCATCCCCTGCCACGCATTGCTGTGGCCCAGTCTGTGTGTATGTGTATATGTGTGTGTATATATTTGTGTATATGTGCATGCATTGTAATGCATTTTTATTTTATTTTTTGCCTTTTAAAGTGCCTTCTGCTGTGTTTTTCAGTGTTTATATGAGTGATGGTCACTTGTTGGCCTGAGAGGTGTCTTGTGTCCAAATTTGGTGTCAATTCACCCAGTGGTTTTTGAGCTATGTTAATCCCACAAACGAACATTACATTTTTATTTATATAGATTAATGTTTAATGCACTGTTTTAATTGATGGTATATGTATTTTATGTATTTTAATGGCCTAATAGTTTTTTTGTATTTAATTGTTATTGTATTTAATTGTCTATATGTAACGGCATCGAATCGCTGCCAATGTTAGCCATCCTGAGTCTCCCTTCGGGGATAGAGAAGAGACAGGGTAGAAATACCGGAAATAATAAATAAAGTAAGAATAATAGGAACCCTATAGCTACTATTTTAAAAAATGCAAAGCTGCTTGTTAGAAAAAGATTAGGTCATGGTAAGAATAAGAATCATTGTATACATGTATGTTCCTTTCATCTACAGGAAATGAGATTCCACCTGAACATTAGGAAGAACTTCCTAACTGTGAGAGCTGTTCAACAGGGGAACTCTCTGCTTCAGATTGTGGCAGAGGCTTCTTCTGTGGAGGCTTTTAAACAGAGGTTGGATGGCCATCTGTCAGGGGTGCTTTGGATGTGATTTTCCTGCTTCTTGGCAGGGGATTGGATTGGATGGCTCATGAGGTCTCTTCCAATTCAGTGATTCTATGATCTAAATGTCTTTCTGTTATCAAATACTTTCCATTTTCTGGGAATAATAATAATAATAATAATAATAATAATAATAATAATACTATTTGTATCCCGCTACCATCTCCCCAAGCGACTTGGTGCGGCTTACATGAGGCCAAGCCCACAGTACATCAGTAAACTAAGGCAATAACAAAACAATCAAAGCAATATAATTAAGCTAGATGATTCCAGTTCCAGATACTCACAGTGGCAGACCACTTCTTTGAATGCTTTCAAAAGACTACCCCAGAATGTTTGTTCATCAGTTAATCAGTATTCCCACCTTGGTACTGGTTCCCACCTTGGTACTGGTTCATATTTTTCTGATTTGTTAACATGAGTGGCAACAGAAAATGTGAAATGTGTCTACTGAAAAGCATTATTGTTAAGGTGGCCATATGTGACATGAGATGGCTTCTTCAAGCATGCAGGTCTTTACTTGATGTTGTGGCCATGAGGTCAAGCTCATGTGTGAGTTTTCTGACCTTTCATGAACATCTCATGTCTGTAGATCAATAGGTACCGTCTCAGCGGGAAGGTAAACATTGCCCCATGCAGTCATTACGGCCACATGACCTAGGTGGTGTCTACAAACAATGCATTCTCTACGGCTTAGGGAAGTACGAGGGGTATTTTTTAAGTAAGGTCCGTTTGAACATAAGTACACAACGAAAATTTATTTCAAAAATTTATTTTCAGAAAGTACATACTTCACTCTATTTTTCGACATAGTTGCCAAGTTTGTTCAAACACTTAACATACCTCTGAACCAATTTTAAAATACTCTCTTCATAAAAACTTGCCGCCTGCTCCGATAACCAAGAGTTCACTGTAATCAAAGAAGGGTGACCGGAGCGGTCCTCATCGTGGATGTTGTCACGACCATCTTTGAATTGTCATACCCACTTATGCACTTTGCTTTCACTCATAACAGCATCACCGTACACTTAACAAATCTGTCGATGAATTTCTGCAGCAGGCAGGTTCCTTGCTCACAAAAACCATATCACTGAGCAAACCTCACATGTGGAGGGTGAGTTGATAGTTTTAAATATTTTTAAAGCACAGAACAGAACCGTACAGGTTAGCTACAGAGCGGAAACTGAGCACAGTTGTTCCCGAGGCATGCCGGTACACGATGCACGTGCTCGTTGCGGTATGCGCGTGAACTACTAGTGTCTACAACAAAACGGACCTTACTTTAAAAATACCTCTCATAGATGAGCACCACCCCTCAGAGCAAGAAGGGGAAGGGAGCCTTTATCTGTGTTTTGTTGTTTCTAGGCATTGTGTTTGTGTATGCTGGAATCTGCCCTTGGTCCCCTCTGAGAGATAGGGCTACTAATAAAGGATTATTATATATTGTTATTACATCTAGATAAAGTATTTGCTGCTTCTGCCATACACCATCATAAAACTTTGAAATGATGGCAAAAGACAGCATGGTTTATTTTCAATCGAAGCATTTCCTTAAAATTGAGTTTCTTTGGACAGAATATTTTCCAGAGTGATATGTTCAGTTGGAGCATTAACTGAATTAGTTTTAATGTATCTTGCATCCCTTTGGTGACTGTATATCTTACTGTTGTGTATGCCACATTAAAACAAATTGAACTGATGCTTTAATTTAAACAAATCACTTTGAAGACTATCCCTTACAATGTAAAAAAAAAAAAACCCTATCACAGACACAGCTATCCTACAGCTTATGCTTTAATGCCCACTGCTGACTGTATTTATTGCATTCCTCATTCATTCAGTTTGCAACATGATAAATGGCACGCAATATATTCCCACCGCAGAGTGTGTTCCCTTCATACACTGAAAACGGAGCATGTGTCAGTTTTTGGCAGCCTCCTGCTGTATCTTATTTTGGAGTTAAAACAAAGTTTATGTAAATCAGTGGCTTGTTGCTCATCAAGTCCAAAAATATGTGTTTTGTAATTTTCTGCTTCAGCAGATAAGTCAAGACTTCTTCAGTAATTATTATTTTGAATTCTTTTGTCTCTGTGTAATCTGGCACAGAGAGACAATAGAAGAAAGGAAAGAATTGTTATGTCGTAGCCAGACTCAGTGTGATATTTGCCCTGTAATTCATCCTTATATTGTTAAAATAGTGCTAGAACACTTCTCTGCCAGAAATAATGGTTGCAACCCCCAGGCAAGCATGTGCCTGGCAAGCCTCACTGAATGTCCATGTTTCTTACCTCTTTTCATAGGCATCAAGCCATTCAAATGTTCTCTGTGTGAATATGCCACTCGCAGCAAAAGCAACCTCAAAGCACACATGAACCGCCACAGCACTGAAAAAACCCACCTGTGCGACATGTGTGGGAAAAAGTTCAAATCCAAGGGCACCCTGAAGAGCCACAAACTCCTCCATACTGCTGATGGTAAGCAGATCTTTATCAGAACTTCCTAACCATGAGAGTTGTTCAGCAGTGGAACTCTCTGCCCCAGATCCAGGGATCTCATGCTACCCCTCTTTTCTGCCTTGGTCAGACCACACCTGGAATCACACTGTGTCCAATTCTGGCAACTGTAATTGAAAGGAGATATCGATAAGCTGGAGTGTGTCCAGAGGTGGGCAACTCAAATGATCAAGGGTCTGGAGAACAAGCCCTATGAGGAGCAGCTTAAAGAGCTAGGCATGTTTAGCCTTCAGAAGAGAAGGCTGAGGGGAGACATGATGGCCATGTATAAATATGTGAGGGAAGTCATAGGGAGGAGGGAGCAGGCTTGTTTTCTGCTGCCCTGGAGACTAGGATGCGGAACAATGGATTCAAACTACAGGAAAGGAGATTCCACCTGAACTTGAGGAAGAGCTCTCTTGACTGTGAGAGCTGTTCAGCAGTAGAACTCTGTTGGTGACTCCTTCTTTGGAGGCTTTTAAGCAGAGGCTGGATGGCCATCAGTCGGGGATGCTTTGAATGCAAGTTTCCTGCTTCTTGGCAGAATGGGATTAGACGAGATGGCCCATGAGGTCTCTTCCAACTCTATGACCCAAAATTTGGGTCATGGTGGCTACATAGCATGCTATATCGCAGGGGTCCTCAAACTAGGGCCCGGGAGCCGAGTACAGACCTCCAAGGTCATTTATCTGGCCCTAACTCAGGGTCAACATAAGTCTGACACAACTTGAAAGCAGACAACAACAACAATCCTATCTCATCAGACAAAAGAAGGTCCACACTGTCTATTGAAATACTAGTAAGTTTATATTTGATAAAATTGTTCTTTATTTTAATTATTGTATTTTTAAAGTGTTTTTGCACTGCAAATAAGATATGTTCAGTGTGCATAGGAATTCATTCATTTTTTTCAAATTATAATCCGGCCCTCCAGCGGTTTAAGGGACTGTGACCTGGCCCTCTGTTTAAAATGTTTGAGGATCCCTGCTATATTTCATGTAAGCATATGACTGGAGTCTAGTTTACATGTGAACAATGAGCTTACATAAAATTTAGGTAAGGATTGCTATATGAGAGACCATCAAAAATCACTTCCATTGGAAATCTTCTTTGTAGTGGCAAGTGCATACCTCTCTTTTGTCTAGTTGTGCGTTGGCTCTCTGCTACCAATCAGCAATGACTCAAGGCCCTCCCGCACAGCCCTATATCCTAGAATATCAAGGCAGAAAATCCCACAATATCTGAATGTGGACACAGATAGCCCAGTTCAAAGCAGACATTGTGGGATTTTCTGCCTTGATATTCTGGGATATAGGGTTGTGTGGAAGGGCCCTGTGTCCACACTCAGACAATGTGGGATTCCCATCTGAACATGAGGAAGAACTTACTGTATGTGAGAGCCGTTCAGCAGTGGAACTCTCTGCCTCGGAGCGTGGTGGAGGCTCCTTCTTTGGAAGCTTTTAAACAGAGGTTGGATGCCATCTGTCAGGGGTGATTTGAATGCAATATTCCTGCTTCTTGGCAGGGGGTTGGACTGGATGGCCCATGAGGTCTCTTCCAACTCTTTGATTCTATGATTCTATGATTCCTGCCTTGATATTCTGGGATATAGGGCTGTGTGGAAGGGCCCTCAGAATGTGTGACCAAGGTTTGATTAGTGATGGATGGTCTGATTCACATGGAAAAGCCAGTACAAACATCATAGAAACCTTACATACAGAATTAAGTCACAGAATTCTTTAGAAGCAACATAATTTGTAATTCATTTTTAGGAAATAAACATTAGAAAGAACTTCCAAATGGCAAGAGGTTGTTCAACAGAAATATGGAGTATAGTGGAATCCCCTTCTCTTGAAGTTTTTAAACAGTGGCCATCTATTGGGAGTGCTTTGAGTGTGTATTCCTGCATGGTAGAATAGTGTTGGGTTTTGGTCTCTTCCAACTCTATGATTCTAAACTTTTTTTTCACTTCTGTGTTTTATAGAAACTATCATCTGCACAAAACTGCATCCAGGTTTTATCAACAACCCAGATTTTGGAAAGCATAGCTTTTGCTTTTTCTTTTTGACAAGTTAGTGTAGATTTCTCTTTTCAGCTTTCGCTTTTGGGTTCCCTTTTAAGTCTATGGCAGCTGTTTTTAAAGGGATTTCAAATAGAATATCTCGGTGACCTGGTTATAAAGAAAGGATGGGAATATAACAGATCTCTGGACAGGTTTAAATATGCCCTTTGAATTTCTAATAAATGCATACATTAAAAACCAAAAAAAAAAAATGAGTGCGCAAGAGACATGGGGACCAGTTTAGCATTTAAGGAGAGCAAGATAAGGCACTCTTAAGTATTTTAAGCCATTACGTCTTAGACCAGTGTTTCCCAACCTTCTTAATGCCACGAACCCTTAATACAGTTCCTCATGTTATGGTGACCCCCCAACCATAAAATTATTTTGTTGCTACATCATAACTGTAATTTTGCTACTGTTATGAATCATAATGTAAATATCTGATATGCAGGATGTATTTTCGTTCACTGGGCGTTTATTGTGCCAAATCTGGCTGACCAGATTTGGCACAAATACCCAATATGCCCACATTTGAATACTGGCGGGGTTGGGACGCATTAATTTTGTCATTTGGGAGTTGTAGTTGCTGGGATTTATAGTTAACCTACAATCAAAGAGCATTCTGAACTTCACCAACAATGGAATTGAACCAAACTTGGCATACAGAACTCCCATGTCCAACAGAAAATACTGGAAAGGTTTGGTGGGCATTAAACTTGAGTTTTGGAGTTGTAGTTCACCTACATCCAGAGAGCACTATGGACTCAAACAATGATGGATCTGGACCAAATTTGGCACAATACTCAATATGCCCAAATGTGAACACTGATGAAGCTTGGGGAAAATAGACTTTGATATTTGGAATTTGGAATTGCTGGGATTTATAGAGCTCCCATGACTAACAGAAAATACTGAAAGGGTTTGATGGGCATTGACCTTGAGTTTTGGAATTGTAGTTCACCTACTTCCAGAGAGCACAGGGGACTCAAACAAGGATCGATCTGGAACAAACTTGGTTCTTAAGACCATCAGAAATATGTGTTTTATTATGCTCTTTCGCAACTCCTCCGACACCCTCCTCGCGACCCCCAGGTTGAGAAATGCTGTCTTAGACCATTCAGTGTAAACTTGAACAAATAAGTATCTTCTGGACATCATCATGGTTGTTGCTTCACACTTTTCTCCTAAAGTTAAGACTCAAGACAACTTACAGTTAAAAAAGAACAGTACAACTAAAAACATTAAAAGTGAACATCAAAATGGATTAAAAATCCATCATGGCTAGAAGGATATTAAAAGAGCAGATTGGTAAGGAATCACCTGTAAGACTTGCCTATCAGGGCTGAGTCATTTTTTCAAATGCCTATGCATCCCAGCCTTTTCTAGAGGGTGAAACATGTTGCTGTAACTTTTTTGGGACAGTGAAGTTTGTTCGTGGTTTAATTTGCAGCAGATTCTTGTGTGTGTGTGTGTGTGGGGGGGGGGGGGGGGGGGGGGGAGCGGGATAATACTGTCTAGTTTGGGATGGGCCCTCTCCGGACAACATATGTAGCCCTTTTAAATTATTTTAAAAGGAAATTTAACCAAAACAGTTGGGATGGAGTGCCAGAACTTCTGTGACTTCATCTTGGGACTGACGATAGGTCATCTGCATTCAGTATCTAACCACTTTGATTTTGTTTTTGTTTTCCCTCCTGGGTCCATCCCTTGGATACTGAAAGTTCCTAGGGGAAGCCAAAGCTCAGGCCCCTTCTACACTGCCAGATAATCCTGATTATCAAAACAGACAATCCACATTATGTGCTTTGAACTGGATTATATTAGTCTACACTGCCATATAATCCAGCTCAAAGCAGATAAGATTATATGGCAGTGTAGAAAGGGCCTCACTTTTTGTAAAGGAGATTGCTGTATTCTGCTTCTGAATTTTTCTTTGTGGACTATATGACTGACTGGTTTGCTTGCTCTTCTTTAATCCTTTGGGTTATCCAAAGTGAAGTACTATGACGAATGAAACTGTAGGCTGGAAGGGAGTCTCTGAATCTTGCTGGGGTAGTGCATGTCATTCAGGTCACCTCATCCTGTCAGAACACATTTCCAAGGTTACTCTTTCCAGAGCAACTGACCACATAGCATTGGGGTACACTGTCCTTTCCTCCAACCACCTCTTTATTGTTTCTCCGCAGCATTTTCCCCTTCTCTTCGGCATGGCACTCTAGTTGTATCTGAACTTTTTGATTTTTGTTTCAGGAAAACAATTCAAGTGCACAGTGTGTGATTATACTGCCGCTCAAAAACCACAACTTCTACGGCACATGGAGCAGCATGCTTCCTTCAAGGTAAGAAAGGTGCTGGGAAGATTGGATGAACACCTTGGTGCAACAAAATCTGGCTACCAGTATTTTAAAAACCTTAAAACCATAACAGTAAATAAAGAATGCTCAAAAATAGGGGAAATCCAGACATGAAAAAATCAGGACCATCTAATTACCTCCCAACAAAGGATTCCCCCAGGCAGTAAGAAGCCAGACCTTTATATTGCTAGGCCATTAAATGCTAATCAAAGTGGCCAATTGAAACATTCACACCTACCATGCATTCCAGATTCTGACTACTTCTTTTACTTTTGCTTCCCATCTGTCCTTAACTGCTGAAGAGTTTAAACTGTCATTCACTGAGGCTTCTTTCTTTTTGACTACAGAGTATATCTTTTTGCATTCTTCCCTGACAATGTCCTTGGCTTCATTCTGGAGTGTAATTGCCATCAAGTCAACTTAGCCTTATAGCGACCCCATGAATGAGAAACCTCCAAGTCTCCTACAACAAACAGCCCTGGTCACGTCTTGCAAACTCAGGGTTTTTTGATTGAGTTTCTCCATCTGTAATTTGAACCTAATTCAGAAATAACGTGTTACAGAAGTTATTTCCATTTTGGAACAGAAGACTGTGTGTGCATGTCTGTGTACATGCACATGCACATAATTATGGAATGATGTGTTTCAGGAGAGACCAATCTCTATGTTGTGGAAGACTGTCATGGCCAGAATAACTGGGTTGCTGTGAGTAACACCTCCCAACAAAGGATTCCCTCCAGGCAGGAAGCAGCCAGGCTTTGAAGCTGCAAGGTCATTCAATACTAATCAGGGTGGCCAGTTGCAACATTCACACTTACCTCAAGCAGACAAGAATTATTTCTCCCACTCTGGACATTCCAAAGATATATAAACCCAATTTTCCTAGTTTCCAACAGACTTCCTAACCTCTGAGGATGCCTGCCATACATGCAGGTGAAACATCAGGAGAGAATGCTTCTGGAGCATGGCCATACAGCTTGGAAAACTCACAACAACCCAGCAACAGGGTGGTCTGTCAGTCAGTTGGGAGTGTCAGATTACTGCCGGCCATATGCAAGATTTTTGGGTTAGGGTTAGGGTCTACTGCAGCGCACTGTACATGGAGTTGCCTTTGAAAACTGCTTGGAAGCTTCAAATAGTCCAGCGTGTGGCAGCAAGGTTACTAACGGGAGTTGCACTCAGGGAGCATACAGCTCCACTGGCTGCCAGTTTGCTTCTGGGCACAATTCAAAATGCTGGCTTTAACCTCTAAAGCCCTAAACGGTTTCGGCCCAGCTTATCTATCCGAACGCATCTCACCCTATGAACCTTCTAGGAAGCTGAGATCCCGCCTGCCTCACAGGTGCGTCTGGTGGGGGCGAGAGACAGGGTTTTCTCTGTGGTTGCCCCTCGGCTTTGGAACTCCCTACTTAGGGATATTAGATTGGCCCCCTCCGTCCTGACCTTGCGGGAAAGAGTGAAAACTTGGCTTGGTGAGCAAGCGTTTGGAACTTCAGCATGACCAGATAAACTTAAATTGGAATATGAACAAGGAATACCTCAGACGATGGAAACGCTTGAGGAATTGAACAGGAAGACATAGTTTTATAATTTTTATTGTTTTTATTGCTTCTATGGTTTTTAAATGTTTTATGATGTATTTTTTTGCTTTTAACTGATGTATGTATTTATGTACGGCATCTACTTGTTGCCAATTTGTACGCCACCCTGAGTCGCTTTCGGACTGAAATGGGCGGGATAAAGGTGACGTAAACAAATAAATAATAAATAATTGCTGGGTCAAGAAAGGCTGTAGATCTCTCCCAGCCTTCCCCAGAGTTGGTAGTATATACCAAACTGTGAAGAAAACACAGCGAGTGAGTCAGAAGTAAGATGGCTTTATGAATAGAAGGAGCTGAGAGGGAGCTGAGAAAAGATTAGGAATCTGATATGCAGTAGCCTTGTCCAATAGAAAAAGGCTTTGAATGATTACAGGTAATGAATTGAAACACAAAGGTTAAATTTTATGTACGGTTCAGTGTTGTGATTCCCAACAGGTATCTTCATTCTTTCTGTTTTGACGTCTTTTGCGACCCTTTGCGTATTTCCAGGTTTTTTTAAAAAAAAAATCTTATTTATTTCATGGATATGATTCTTGTTTTCAACCAGAGTCCCCAAAGGAGCCTGCAACATTCATAAAGTGTAACGAAGTAAATAAGGAATTCATGCTTTGGTTTTAAAACATATAATAAACCTTTCCCCTTCCTTTTATTTCAAGTATAAGCAAAACCTTTAAACTAACTGCAGTTTTATGTTTACACACATAAATATCCTGAAATAGAACTTTATCCAGTTTGAAGAACACTCAGAGAAAACAGATAAGGACTATTTCAAAGAAATGCTAGCCACTTGGAGTGCCTCTGGCGTCGCTGTGAGAAGGTCCTCCATTTCACGTGGCAGGGATTGGATTGCATTGTAGTAGGTGGTCTGTGGTTTGCACTTCTCCACGCACGGATGTCGTGGACTCCACTTTGTATCCCCATTTCTTAAGGTTAGCTCTACATCTTGTGGTGCCAGAGCACAGTCTGTTCACTGCCTTCCAAGTCGCCCACTCTTCTGTGTTCCCAGAAGAGAATTTCTCATCTGGTCTCAATCAGTGGTTGAGGTGCTGAGTTTTAGCCTGCCACTTTTGCACTTTTGCTTGCTGTGGTGTTACTACGAGTATCTCTGTAGATCCTAGGAAGCTGTTTCTTGATTAAATGCAATTTTCCTGCTTCTTGGCCCATGAGGTCCCTTCCAACTCTATGATTCTATAAAGGCATTGGCATGCTGGCTGATATTCAAACAGAGGGTGGACCGAAGATGTCACTGCTTTGGCCCTTTCATTGCTCGCTGCTACTTCCTGGAGGATGTCACATGGTGCAATACCCGCTAAACAATGTAATTTCTCCAGTGGTGTGGGACATAGACATCCTGTGATAATGCAGCATGTCTCATTAAGAGTCATATCTACAGTTTTAGTGTGGTGAGATGTTTTCCACACTGGGCCTGCGTATTCAGCAGCAGAGTAGCATAACCCAAGGGCAAATGTCTTCACTGTGTCTGGTTGTGATCCCCAGGCTGTGCCTGTTATCTTTTGTATGATATTATTTCTAGCATCCACTTTTTGCTTGATGTTCAAGCAGTGCTTCTTATAAGTCAGAGAATGGTCCGGAGTGACTTCCGGGTATTTTGGTGTGCTGTAATGATCCAGTGGGATTCCTTCCTAGGTAATCCTCAGAGCTCGAGATGCTTGGGACTTTGGGTTAATGAAGGTGATAAAGCATCATACTGTCCTTTCCCATTCATAGCAGGGAATGCAGCATGACAAATTAATTGTTTCAGATGTTTGATGGGATGGGAAAGAAAGGAATCACTGATTGAAAAGAAAAGATTCTCCTTCCTTTGCTGTCTGGTTGTGCGCAGGGGCAGCTCAACCATTACGCAATGTAAGCATTTGCAGTATAGTTGATTTTGCCCAGGGGTGCTCTTGAGGCGCTCTTGGGGGGAAATAGACCTTGACATATGCGAGTTGTAGTTACTGGGATGTATATTTCACCTACAATCAAAGAGCATTCTGAACTCCACCAATGATGGAATTGAACCAAATGTGGCACACAGAACTCCCATGACGAACAGAAAATATATATATCAATGATTGGTTGGGGGGGGGGGGGCGGCGGCACCAAAATACTGTTTGCTTACCGTTGAAAATTATCTAGTGCCGCCTCTGGTTGTGGGTACCCTTTTAAGAAATCCTTATTTATCCTAATGAGGACATCAAAAATGCTAAGTGCTCCCAGACATTTTAAAGAGCCTTTCTCCAATGGAATCATTAGACCAACATTTGTTTTTAAAAATACAATCGACCAAGTAATCCATGACAAACTGTTTGGAATTTAAGAAATAGATGAGGCACATATCTTTGGAACACTTAAGATTTTATGTATTTGTTACCTTCTCTTTGAACCTGAAGCATCTGATTTCCAGTCCTCTTTCACTTCCAGCTTTCCCATTGACAAAAAGAACATATGAATAATTACTTCTCAGAGTTTTTGTGAACTTAAAACATGCTACAGGAATGTTTTTGCGTTGTTTTACTCAATATTCTAGTCAGCAAGACCATTTGCATGGATTTATTTGAGGTCTCTAGAGGGAATCTTGTAGGACACGGGTACTTATTGATTTTTGCAAGGTGATTAATTTTTTTTGTGTGTGCAAAGCATAAGATTTAGTTTCAGCTGGGCTACTTCTGAAGACAGGGTTTCCATTCAATCAGAGAACAGTGATGTTTATAAGCTTCAAATTACCTTGCCAGTTGCAAAGCAAGCTATTTTTCAGCATCTCTTTTGAAAACTAATATTCTAGCTTGTGTTGCTAATTAGAGCCCTGCATTCCTTCTGTTTGAAATGGACAGAATGCTTGAAAAGCATGCACAATTTGCATGAGTTCCAAATCGACTATGGAGATGCAACCTGGTAAACCATATAGTGAGGGGTTTTCATATAATATATATCTTGCATTAAGTATTTCTATGCTGACAGACATCCCTGCAACCTTTATATCGGGACAAATCAGGACAAGACAGAATAATGCAGCCGATATGGGAACAGATTTTTGCCCCATTGTTTTCTGGGAAAGCACAAGTAGAAGACAAAAATTTGAAAGAACCAGTAACATGTCAGATTTTACTGGGCTGTCAAGATCATTAGCATTAGTTCCAGGGTGCTTGCATCTTAAACTGATGGGCCTCCCAGTTGAAAAGTTTATAACACCGTGAGTGTAGTCATGATGATCCCAATCAAATGAGAAAGAGCATGTTTATGAGGAAGAGCAAACAGATCCTTGAAATTTGTGTTTAACTTTCTAATTATTAGAAACTCAGTTTTACTCAATGTATTGTCGAAGGCTTTCATGACTGGAATCACTGGATTGTTGTAGGTTTTTCGGGCTATATGGCCATGTTCTAGAAGCATTCTCTCCTGACATTTCACCTGCATCTATGGCAGGCATCCTCAGAGGTTGTGACCTCCAGTGAGTCATCTTCTTTGCACGACGATATGCAAACACATACCAAAATAATACACTCTCTCCACTTAGTTATCAGTAGAATGTCTTTATCATACCATAAACAATCAGTCTCCTTGGCACTCCAAACGGCTTCCGCCTTCAGCTTCAGAATGCTGCGTAACCGCTCCCAGCAACAGCCAAAGGTTTCTTCAGCGCAAACAAGTCATCAAGCTAAGTCAAATGCAAAGCTCAAAGCTTGTAAATTTAAAGCAACTGTAACAGAAAAGTTTCTGATCCTCTCTATTACTTAGAAAAAGCCTGTTGTAAACTTCTAGTAGCAACACCCCCCTCTCCCTGCCCCGGTGGTCAAGCACAGCCTCCAGGATGCCGGAAATAAGATGGGAAAAGCTGCCTTTACTTCTGTTTGTGTTGTCTGTCCTTGTTAATTGTATAATTACAACTACGCCCTGAGTCCCCTTTGGGGTGAGAAGGGCGGGATATAAATATAGTAAATAAATAAATAGAAGAATTGCATTGAATGTTTGCCGTATGTGTGTTCTGTAACCTGCTCTGAGTGAGAAGGGCAGGGTATAAATATTGTAAATAAATAAATAAATAAATATGCTAATAATGTGAAGTTTTGTTTTTTGCTTTTTGTATTTTTTTTTTTTAAAAAAAATAATTTTCAGGGTTTTCTTGGAAATGTCACATCTCTAGATCTAAATCTCATTATTTCCAGAGCGAAAATCTGAATTTCTGACCATTGTATCTCAGGTGAGGTTCTAAAAACAAGAAGCAAATATAATTAATTGATTTCCTTTTTCCTTCTCCAGCCTTTCCGATGTGCACACTGCCATTACTCCTGCAATATATCAGGTTCTCTGAAAAGACATTACAACAGGAAACATCCCTATGAGGAATATGTGAATGCAGGCTCTGGAGAACTTCCTACTGAAGCCCTTCTCCAACAAGGTAATCTTGCTTCAAAAGCATTGCAGGGCGCACTTTTTCGAAGTAAGGGGCAATTAAGTTAGTATTAGCAGAAGCAAGTATTAGCTGGAGCCGGCTTGGCATTTTTATTGGTAAATCACAATGGAATTTCTTTTTTTTCTTTTTTTTTTTTTTGATGTGGAGTGCCTTTGGCACGATTTCAAGAAATAAAAAACAAAGACAGGTGTTGTGTTGAAATTGAAAACCCACATGAATGTGAGAACCGAAGGTAGCCCATTATCCTCTCATGGATCAGCTTGGTGGGGAAATCACGTAGGTTTAAAATACTAAACAATAAGTATTTTTTAATGGAACAATTCCAAAAGCACTCCTAGAGAAAATAGTTATATGTAAAATCTGTCTATGCAGCTTTGTTTAAGTCTGGCATCTCAAGTCCTGAACACACTTGTTTATTTATTTATTTATGTATGGCTCGTCTTTCTCAGCCATACGGCGACTCAAGGTGGGTTACAGATTGGCACAATTCGATGTCAGGCATTCATAAATGTGCCATTAAAAACAATCAACATTACAATATAAAACATAAAAACTGTTAAAGCATACAATCATTGGTGTCATCTTGTTAAAAACATTATCCAGAAACATCGTCTGGCCATACCATGTTCATCATTCATACTTCCGTGTTATCTACTCCGCTGCATTCTCAAAAGCTTTCTCAAAGAGCAAGGTCTTTACTTTTTTTTGGAAAATCAGGAGCAAGGAGGCCAATCTAATATCCTTGGGAAGGGAGTTCCATAGCCGCGGGCCACCACTGAGAAGGCCCTGTCCTTCGTCTCTGCCAATTGCACTTGCGAGGCAGGCGGGATTGAGAGCAGGGCCTCCCCAGACGATCTTAAGCTCCTAGATGATTCACTTACATGGCTCAGGAGTAGGATAACTGAAGTATGGTATTCTCCAATCTGAATTTGCCTAGATTTTGATAAATGCAAGGGAGATTCTTCTTTCCATTCCACCATCCTTACATGTAGATTCAAAAAGGCCTTTTCTGTGGCTCTTCCCAAGGCTCTGAAGTTCTCTCCTTAAAGAAGGGGTCCTCAAACTTTTTAAACAGAGGTCATAGTCCCCAAAATTGTTGGAGGGCTGGATTATAATTTGAAAAAAACATGAATGAATTCCTATGCACACTGGACATATCTTATTTGTAGTGCAAAAAACACTTTAAAACAATACACTAATTACAATGAAGAACAGTTTTAACAAATATAAACTTATTAGTATTTCAGTGGGCTGTGTGGGCCTGCTTTTGGCTGATGATAGGATTGTTGTTGTTGTTGTGTGCTTTCAAGTAGTTTCATACTTAGGTTGACCCTGTGCGAGGGCCGAGTAAATGACCTTGGAGGGCTGCATTTGAGGACCCCTGCCTTAAAGAGTCTAGACTGGCTCCCTCCATTGTGTCTCTATAGCAGCAGAGAAAGATTTGCTTGTTTCAACAGACTTCTGTGAGAAGGTCATTTACTAATGTACTCCTCCAGGTGTTTTGGACTTCAGCTCCCAGAAATGCCAGCCAGCTTACCAGTTGTAAGGAATGGTGGAAGCTGAATTCCAAAACATCTGGAGGAGCACAGTTTGAGAAACTCTGATTTCGATAATTAATTTAATCTGGGAACCTGTAGGAGCAAAGATTACTGCAGATGCAGACTGCAACCAGGAAATCAGAAGACGTTTACTTCTTGGGATGAGAGCAATTACCAATCTTGATAAAATAGTGAAGAGTAGACACATTACACTGGCAATGAAGATCTGCATAGTTAAAGCAATGGTATTCCCCGTAGTAACCTATGGATGTGAGAGCTGGACCATAAGGAAGGCTGAGTGAAAGAAGATAGACGCTTTTGAACTGTGGTGCTGGAGAAAAATTCTGAGAGTGCCTTGGACCGCAAGATGATCCAACCAGCCCATACTCCAGGAAATAATGCCTGACTGCTCATTGGAGGGAAGGATAGTAGAGTCAAAGATGAAGTACTTTGGTCACATGATGAGAAGACAGGAAAGCTTGGGGAAGACAGTGATGCTAGGAAAAAGGAAGAGGGGCTCACCAATGGCAAGATGGATGGATGGATCCTTGAAGTGACTGCCTTGACTTTGAAGGAGTTGGGGGTGGCGGCCCCTGACAGGGAACTCTGGCGTAGGCTGGTTCATGAGGTCATGAAGAGTCAGAAGCGACTGAACGAATAAACAACAAAAAGGGAACCTCTAGATCAGTGGTTCTCAACCTTCCTAATGTCGTGACCCCTTAATACAGTTTCTCATGTTGTGGGGACCCCCAAACATTTTTTTCCATTGCTACATCATAACTACTATTTTGCTACTATTATGAATTGTAATGTAAATATCTTATATGGAGGATGTATTTTCATTCACTGGACCAAATTTGGCACAAATACCCGATATGCCCAYATTTGAACACTGGTGGGGTTGAGGGGGATTGATTTTGTCATTTGGAAGTTGTAGTTGCTGACATTTATAGCTCACCTACAATCAAAGAGCATTCTGAACTCCACCAACAATGGAACTGAACCAAACTTGGCACACAGAATTCCCATGACCAACAGAAAATACTGGAAGGATTTGATGGGCATTGACCTTGAGTTTTGGAGTTGTAGTTCACCTACATCCAGAGAGCACTATGGACTCAAATAATGATGGATCTGGYTGAAACTTGGCAGGGATACTCATTATGCACAAATGTGAACACTGGGAAAACAGACCTTGGCATTTGGGAGTTGTAGTTGCTGGGATTTATAGTTCACCTACAATCAAAGAGCATTCTGAACCCCACCAATGAATTGGGCCAAACTTCCCACACCGAATCCTCATGACCAACAAAAAATACTGTGTTTTCTGATGGTCTTTGGCGACCCCTCTGACACCCCCTCATGACCCCCCACCAGGTGTCCCGACCCCCAGGTTGAGAAACACTGTTCTAGATCTTGAAGACTACAACAAGTTCCAGGATCTTGGCCAAAAAATGGAATATTGGAGACGGATCTATAATTGTCACATACGATGGGGTACTGGGAGGGTTTTTCACCAATGCCTTTGGATTGGCCTCTTGCTTGCAGTGAGGCATTCACAACTCTTCTTACTCATTTTCCCGGAATGGCAGTCTTTAGCTTGAGAAAATGCACCTGGTGCTTTCTGCAAGGCTGTCATTTACCACTTAACCTAAGATGCTGACCAAGTCTTCTCTTTGTCACTTGTCAGTCTGATGTGGGAGTAAATTTCTGGCATTTCTAAGCTCTGAGCGTGTCTTCCATGTTGTTTCCCTGAAAAATGCTCATTTTGTGCTTCGTTTTTTTGCACACGTTATTTCAGCTGTGACTTCCCCCAAAATCAGCTTGGCGTGCTTCCAGATAATGAGCAGAGCATCCGAGTGTGAGATTTTGGGGTTTTATTTATCTTTATTCGCCTGTGATTTTTTTAAAGAAGTCATGCTTCAGTTCCAGCTATGGTATTATTCATTGTTGTGACAGTCACTGCAATCTGCAGTCACAGAAGATGAGGGAAGGAGTGGCACATTTAAGAGAAATAATTTCACTTTGGACTCCCAGTAAAGGGTTTAACAGAATAGCAGAATATCCAGATGCAGCCGCAGGAGATGTGTGTGGTGCTCTTTTTTTCCCCATCTCTCAAGGGATATTTTGCTGTTGTGCAGTTGGCAGTCTGACAGCACAATCCAGTAGCTTGTAGAGTATGAAATGGATTTAAAGATTCAGGACATAACAAAGCACGTAACACTGCTGCATGTGGGGAATTAAAGGATACTAAATTAGATTCTATTGTATTTGAAAACACTGAGTTGTTGTGGTGAGACTTGGATTCTTTACTTTTATTTCTGATAGTTTCCAACTTTGTTTATCCTCTTGTTGAATGACAAAAAGCATTGTGGGGATTTACATTTTCCCCTTTTTGTTACACTAGAATGAATACCAGAATAACACTCCAGCTTCAGATAATGAATAAAACATAATTCTCCCAACCGTGACATTCTAAAAGCACTTCCAAATTATTCGTTGTCTTTATTTTATTTTTTGGCAAAGAATTCATGTCTATCGGAAGCGCTAACCTATGCACTAACAGCATGGAAATGGTGACACAAGCCGAAAGTATTCAGAATTTATACTGAGTCTTCCCTCCCATTGTTACAAAGATAGGAATGAGAGATGAAGTTTAAAGAAGAGGTGTTTCCAAGCATTTGCCTGTCTGAGTCATGAGAAAGCAAAAAGAGAAGTGAAATTTTTTGCAGTGTGAATTATTAAAGGGCTCAGTGATGAAGCACATCTTTGGTTCCTTTGGCTTTTAGTCATAATGTTCTTATACCACTTCCAAAATCAGAGGCAGCTTGTTTTGAATCTGGTTCTGAATCTGAATCTGAATTTGAATCAAGGGTCTGGAGAACAAGCCCTATGAGGAGCGGCTTAAGGAGCTGGGCATGTTTAGCCTGAAGAAGAGAAGGCTGAGAGGGATATGATAGCCATGTATAAATATGTGAGAGGAAGCCACAGGGAGGAGGGAGCAAGCTTGTTTTCTGCTTCCCTGGAGACAAGGACGCGGAACAATGGCTTCAAACTACAAGAAAGGAGATTCCATCTGAACATTAGGAAGAACTTTCTGACTGTGAGAGCTTTTCAGCAGTGGAACTCTCTGCCCCGGAGTGTGGTGGAGGCTCCTTCGTATTTTGGAAGCTTTTAAACAGAGGCTGGATGGCCATCTGTCAGGGGTGATTTGAATGCAATATTCCTGCTTCTTGGCAGGGGGTTGGACTGGATGGCCCATGAGGTCTCTCCCAACTCTTTGATTCGATGATTCTATGAATATCAGTTGCTTCTGAACCATAGCAAGAGAAAGCTGATGTTCTCATGCCCATCTTGTCTGGAGAGAACCCTTCACTAAATGCATCTTTGAAGCAGATCTGTTTCATTCTTATTCATGTCTGAAATCCTGGACATCCACTATTGGCC